GGGGGGTTCTGGAGCCCGTCTGGGTGCAGGGCACTGGAATGTCCTGGAGCCCCCCGAGGGCCAGGCGTGGGGTCTCCCGAGGGTCGGGCCGGAGTCTCCGTAGTCTTCTGAGGGCCAGGCTCGGGGTCGCCTCCCAACCGGGTGTCTTCTGAAAGCCGGGGTCCCCTCAGGGCGGGGCGGGGGTTCCCGGGGTCCCCTTGAGGCCAGAGCGGCACCCCCGGGGTCCCAGGCCCTCTTCCTACCTATGCCGGGCGCCACATAGACGAAGTAGAGCAGCGAGGACGAGAGCGAGAAGAAGAAGAGCGCGGCGAGCAGCGAGCGGCGCGGCAGCCGCAGCAGCCCCCGGCGGACGCGCATGCTGCAGCCAGGCGGCCGCTCGAGGGCCGGGCCGGGCCTGCTCCCGCCGCTCTCCGTGCGCCGCCTCCTGGGCCGCCGCCGCCGCCGCCGCCTGGGCCTCGGCCACCTCCCGGGCCTCGCCGGCCGCCGCTCGCCGCCGCCTCGCCGCTCCGAGCCGCCGGGCACCGTCGCAAAAGACCCGGGCGCGCGCGCTCACAGAGCGATCCCCTGTTTGGCCCCCGCGGCGGCGCAGTGGCCCGCAGGGAAAGTCGCCAAATGGCGACAGCCCCTCTACCGGCGCGGCCACCGCCCTGGCTTTTGGGGAACGTCGCTCAAGTGCCCGTCGGTCCGCTCTTGGACGCCCCCAACCTGGGAGCCCAGGGGCAGGATGCAATGTCTGACTCGGCTGGCCACCCACTGCGACAGAAGAGCAGGGATTGTAGGCATGAGGGCTCGGTATACACCTCCATTCATTCATTCATTCATTCATTCATTCAGTTCACCATTTATTGAAAGCCAGACATATGCCAGACACCGTTCTTGGCGCTGGGGATGCTACATAGAACAAAACAGACAAAATCTCTGTCTTCTTGAACATAACATTCAAATGGGAGGAGAAAAAGAAACAAATCAGTTCAAAATGTCAGGTACTGATAAGTGATATGAATTCAATAAAACAGGAGAATATGTTTGAGGCAGACTAATGTGGTCAGGGAAGGCCTCACTGAGGGGTGACATAAAACAGTGAACATCAGATGCAAAGGTCCTGAGGTTAAAAAGCCTGATCTGACCCCAGCTTAACTCAAGGTCAGCATGGATACAATCCAGTGGGGCAGGGAGAGCTACAGGGATGAGGTGGTAGCTCTGGGCAGGTTCCATATCCCAAAGATTCCTAAGGAGCTTAATGATAACAGTTATCAATATGAAGACTTGCCCTTGAGAGACACCGGGCCTTACCTACCTCATTAAATCACCCCAACAGGCCTGAGATGTGTGCTCTTATTATTCCTATTGTACAGCTGAGGAAACTGAGGCTCCTAGATGGAGAAGTAATCCACCCAAGCCTTGCAATAAGGGCTTAAATAAAAAATGACCTGTCTCCCAAGGCACCCTTGACCACTAGGTTGTACGTGCCTCAGCATTCCATCTGAACCCTAATTTCCATCCTGCAGACAAATCGGTACCCTGCTCTGTAGGATAGTGTGCGGCCATATCCAAAACAATGGTTTAAGATCAGCCCCAGGCCAGAAGACCTCTGATGGCAGTAGGCAGTAACTAGAGACTCAGGTGAGGGCCAATAGAACCTGCCTCAGCCTCAACTCAAGAAGTTGCCAGCTGAACTGGGGAGGCAAGTGTCCCCTTGGAATGCCATAGCAGTCAGGAGAAGAAAGGACTTTGCAGGGATTCTGTGAGAACCAGCAATAATCCTGCTTTGTATTCCTGAAGTGATTTATCTTTTTATGGTGTTTCTTTTGACTCTTTAAATTCGGGCTCTAGAGCCAGACTGTCCTGGTTCCTTGTTCCTGTTCATTGTTCCCTGTTCCTGTCTCTTCCATTCTTAGCTGAGTGAGCTTAAACAAGTTACTTAACCTCTTGGCCTCTCAGTAAAATGGCATGTATTATTAGTAATGACTGCATCGGGTTGTTGTGAGAATTTGAGTAATACATGCACATAGGCTCTCAGCTGACCAACACCCCTGGGAAATGGAATGGGAGAGAAGAGGCTTAAACAACAAAAAAGAAAAGCAAATAATTTTGACTCAGACAGATGTGAGTTCAAATCTTAGCTTGGTCTCAACTGGCTGTGTGACCTTGAGCAAGTCACTTCACCCTCTGAGCTTCTATTCATTACCTGTGAAATGGGCCCAGTGTTGCCTACCCCATAGGGATGTGATGCAGAGTAAGTGAGATAGCAGAGGTGAGGCCTTAGACCAGAAATCTCAAACTAGCTGGAATAATCTGACCTGCCACTACTTTTGTTTGGACCATACAATGGCCCCCGCCTCCTGCCCAGCTCTGTCTTTAACAAATATTTACAAACATACAGAAAAGTTCAAAGACTAGTACAAGGAGCACCTGTACACTCTCCACTTGGATTGTTATTTTTCCAGCTTTTTAAATTTTTTATACAATTTTTAAATGTTACTTTCCATTTACAGTTATTACAAAATATAGGCTATATTCCCTATGTCATACAATACATCCTTGAGCCTATCTTACATCTAATAGGTTGCACCTCTCACTCCTTCATCCCTATATTGCCCCTCCCCCTATTTTTTCAGATTTCTCTATCTATATTCATATGTACAGTTTTTTTCTGAATTATTTAAATTAGTTGCTGCCTTATTGGTACTTCATGCTTCAATACTTCCACAGAAATCCTAAGAAAAAGTACATTCTCCTACATAACCACAATAACATTATCACACCTAAGAAAATGAACAATCATACCACAATGACCTGTAATATCCAGTCCATTCCCAATTTACCCTTTGCTTTAAAAAATGTCTTTTATAGCTTTTTTAAAACAGTATCAAATCAGGGTTTACACATTGCATTTGAAATTATTTCCATAGTATTTGTTTATCTACCATAGTCCCTCTACCTTTTTTTTCATCATCCCTCCCCCAACATGTTATTTAAAACACTTTTAAACCCATTGGGAAGTTGAAAGAATGGTACCATAAACACCCATACACCACCATTCAATGTTTTGTTTAATTGAAACAAAACAATTGGTGCTGGGTCAATTGGACTTCCATATGGGAAAAAAAAAAAGACATCACTCCTACCTCACACTATCCACGAAATCAGCTTAAGATGGATTGTAAATCTAAATACGAACGATAAAACAAAAAAACAAAAGCTTTTAGATGAAAACATAGAAGAATATCTTCCTGTCCTTGGGGTAGGCAAAGATTCATCAAACACCAGCCAAAAAGGAAAATTTTGATAAGTTGGGCTACATTAAAATAAGAATTTCTCTTCATCCAAAGACACCTTTAAGGGAAAGCATAGGCTGCATAGTAGAAGAAATAGAAATATGTAGCTGATAAAGAATTCATATCCAGAATATTGTTTAAAACACACACAGATTTATAAAGACCAACAAACCAATAAGGAAAAAAAAGGAAAGGCTTGAACAGACATTTCATAGAAGAAGATATGCAAGTGGCCAATAAGCACATGTAAAGGTGCTTGCGTTCATTTGTCCTCTGAAAAATGCAAATTAAAACCACACCTCAATACCATCTGTGGGCTGCTGATTCAGAGGATAACAGGGAGTGCCTAGAGCCGAGCCTGGAGGAAGTCCACCTTGAATGGCAGAGCTAAAAATTATGACTCTGCCAAGGAAACAGAGAGCTCTGGAAGCTGAGGGAAGAGGTGCCTCTGCCTTTGTTCACGAGACCAAGGTCACTTTTCATCCCTGACATTATATTATATATGTATGTGTTTATTTATTCCTTTTCTGTCTCCTGTATCGAACATAAGCTCCATGCAGTCAGGGATTTTGTTTCATTCTCTACTGAATCCTTGCATCTAGCACTGTGCCTGGCATACAGCAGGTTCTCAATAATTATTGAAGGAATGCTGAATGAATAGCAGATGTGCATTGAGCACATCTGGGCATGGCAAATGCAGAGGTGACCGAGAGGAGGTGCCTGCAGCCCACTGGCAGGACTGACAGGAAAGTGAGTCACTGTGGTACAGTGCGATGAGGGCAAGACTCATATGATCAGCAGTCTGGGGAAGTGTCCTGTGAAATTCTAGATGGCCTTTGAAAGGGAGTTGAGACATGCTTGCTCGAGGGGCAGTGAAAGGAGGCCAGCCTGCCTGGAGCAGCTGGTGCCTCCAAGGAAAAGGAAAAGGGATGGGGTGAGATCAGAGGAGCCTTAACCCTATAGCTCAGTAGGGGCCCCAGAGTCAGAAAGATCTCATGACCAACCACTCCTGCCTCTTCCTCACTCTTGCTCTGTGACCTTGGCAAGTCATTTCACCTCTCTGAGCCTCCATTTCCACATCTGTAAAATGTGGATCATAGTTTTTCCTCCTGGGGTTGCTGTGAGGACTAGAGATAGTACCTATAAAGTGTCTGGCATGTAGCAGGCGCTCAATCAATGGGAGCTGTCCTATTCTTACACTTTCTCCTGTGGGCCATAGGGAGCCCTTGAAGGCTTTAGAGGAGAGGAGTGGCCTAAAGAAAGGTGTGTGTGGGGGGGGGGGTCCCTTGAGAAATTCCAGGAGAGCATGAATTGGGCCTCACATGCTTGTCAACACTCAATTACAGACTAGCCCAAGTAAAACACATGAAGAAAAGGATCCAGAGCCTGAAGTAAGTCAGAAATAACACTATGCCCTCCCCAACCCCTCAAACTCTCCTGTTCCAGGCACCTGCCCTGAGGAAGCCATTGCACAATCCATAAATGCCAATCACCAGTATTGTGATAATATTACAAAGCAGTGACTATCTGAGTTCAAACTCCCAGAGGCAGCGAGTAGATAAAGGTCGTTGACATGTCATAACTGCTTTCCAAGCCCCAGGAGACTTGGCATTGATTACTTCTGGTGCCAGAAACTCCTGTTGACTATTGACTGTGAGGTTCACCCTGGTAAACTCCAGCCAGGCAGTCCTTTCAGAGGAAACTGAGGCTCAGAGCAGAAGTGACAGACAACATTTCCTGCCAGCAGCTTTAAGAGCCGGTGTGTCCTCTTATCCCTCTACCACAGTGACCATCAATGTTCCACAGAGCAGCTGCCCCACCAGCTGAGTCCCAAAGGGAGGAGAAAATTCCCCCGAGCCCATCAGGCCAGTGATGAACATATAGCATGAGCAAGAAATAAAACTTGGTTTTAAGCATCTGATTTTACTGTTTATTTTACTACAACATAACCTGGCTTATCCTAACTGATCACAATTATACTCTTGTGCGTCATGCTTTCTCTCAATGTATTTTTATAAGGTATAGCCACAATGAAACATGTAACTGAGGTTTATTCATTTCTTGATGATGTTAATTTGTTTCCTTTTTTTTGTTTTGCTATTACTG